TATACAATATAAAAAAATACATACCATTTTATCTGGAAATATAAATATACTACTATATAACAAGTCTTTTTCAAAACTTGATGCATGAGAATAATTTACAAATAATGAAAGATCTATTGTACCATCTGATAACTTAATAGGATCATTTTCTAATATACAGTAATTTTTTTACAAAATTTATCAACAAAATTTTTAATGTTAATTTTTTAGAAATTTTAAGAGACTTTATTTACCTGAATCAAAAATAACTGTGTAAGGCGGTGGGACAGAAACGCTTACCATGGAAGCATTAAAATTTGGATCGTCAACAACTATTAAAAATAGTAAATAATCTAACCGTTCTTTATCTATTTCAAGTTTCGAGTAATGAAAATACTCTGATTGATCATTTAAAGAAAAATATCCAATATATTGTCCTTCAAAATATTTTGGAATATTTAAGTACTGCGTACAACTATAGGTTTCATTTCTAGAATAACGTCCTAAATTTATTAATTAATTAATAAGTGATCTTTAATAAAAATTTCTCGATTTTAAAAAAAAATACCATTAATAGTCCATATAAAATAACACTGAACTTGAAAAGGATAGCCAAACGCAAACACGATATCTATTATTGCATAAATTGTTATGGTTAAAACAAATGAGAAAAAAGAAAATCTCTTTTTATGATATTACCAGGGATTGCAAGTGTATCCACAGTAACTTCTGAGGTTTTAATCGCAGGAATTTCACTTATTACTTCTTTGATTAAAAAGATGCTGTATGCAATTAAACAAGTTGAAATTATAATTAACGTGAATATACGCATTATAAGAACCACCCTAGGTTCAGATTTACGGTGCTTTCCAAGAAAATCATCAAAATTCATTTTTTTTTTTTCACTCTTTTTACTATATTACTTTTAAATTAAAAAATTTTTTCGCGAGACATTAGATAATGAATTAGTCACATGACATTTAAATAGAAATTTATACTAATTTAGACAAATGAAGATTTAAATTAATCCTTATTAGGCTCGGGCTAAACTATTTTGTTGAATTGGTATTAATTAAATTCTTGACAAACGTTGTTATAAACTAGGAAACAGGCGCTGAGTTAGATTGGCAATGATCGGCAATGATCTGAATAAACAATACAAATTCTATTTTAGTAATATAATATTGTATTTATTTAAGTTATTATAAATACTTTTAATAAAATATCTTTATATACTAAATTTTTAATATAATTTACATTTTAATATTATAGTAAATTTAATAATAAAAAAAAATTGTATAGATTTTTTTAGCTATCCTTTCTTAATATTTATTCTTATAATAAATTTTTATAATTTAATACTTTATAATTAAAAGATTTATTTAAAAAAAATTTGATTATAATAAATTAATATAGTAATTACAATTTAGATAAAAAATATAAAAAAAAGAAAGTGTTTTTTAAATTTAATTTATATATTGTTAACAGAAGAAATTACAGCTCTAAATATTACGTGAGATTTACTGATCAATAATAATCTTATGCTAAATAATCTCTTTACTATATCAAATAGTGATTAACAATAATTTCTGTTTTGCCTGTTTCTTTTATTTCTTTTGTATTTTCTGTACAGCCTATTTATTTTATTTATTCTATTTTACCTATACTTCTTTTAACGTTTGTAATTTATTTTATTTCTTTTTATTATTTTTATAGTTTATATTATTCTTATTATTTTATTATATTTAAATATATTTTTATTGGAATATATATCTATATTTAGTTAATTTATAGCATAGCAAATAGTTAACTATAGCAAATTAAATTTTGTATAAATAGAATAGCTTTTTGCTTAAGTTGTAAATTAACGCTTTTACAAGTATGAGTTTTAGTATTATAAATAAAAGAATCAATTTAAATTCACATAAATTACTTTTTTCTTTAATATTATTTCTTATCTAGAATTTTGTTGTAATACATTATACTAACTTATTTTTGAGTTCATTATTATGAGTTTGACTAATTATATTTTAAATTCTAAGATGTAATAAATTGCTAAGTTGATTCAAGTATAACAGATTAGAGTTCTGAATGAGTCGAGTCGAGTCGAGTTTAAAGACCAACTCTATTCAAC